AAGGCTTATAGAATTGTGTGGAGAGAGGTTTCCTTACAGAGCTATTTAGATCAAAGATAATATGTCCTGTTGTTATTGTGTCATCTTAGCCACTAACATACCTACCTTTGCTCAACAATTTAGAACTGGATATCTTTTTTTTTTCCACTTTTACAGGTCAAGGCTTTTTTTTTTTTTTTTCCCCCAAATAGATAATATGGACTGTGAATTTGAGCCTTAATATCTACTATAACCAATTCCATTGCCATTGAGTCATTTCCAACTCATAGCAACCATATACAACAGAGTACAGCCATCCCATAGAGTTTCCAACACTGTAAATCTTTTTTTTTTAATTTTAAGAGCTTGTTTCACATTCAATGTAACGTGTACATTTAGTTTCACTCCCCATTTACCATGTCCAACCCTATCCCAGTCTCTCCCCTCCCTACCCTGTAACCCTTCCCCTGTTCCCCCCATATTTATGCACTCCTGATTGTCCTGTATTTCCTCATTTGAGTATTGGTCCTCTGGTGTCCCATGGTCTATTGCTCTAAGGGATGTATTACCATAGACTATGAGGGTGTGTCATCCTGGGTTGAGTGGTCTGTGTATACATCTTGTTAACTATTGGGATGAGAGCCAGCCCCTGGCAGTGAGTTTTATTCCAGGTGCAGAATGTATTCCAGGGCCATAGTATTGGGGGTCTCACCAGATTTCATCTGATTGGTAATTCTGGTCATTAATGAGTTCTTGGATTTTGTTCCACGTTTTCCCTTCCACTCTATACAGGATCTCCAGATTTGATCCTTTCCTGAGTGGTTGACATTGGTAGCCAGGTATCATCAAATTCTGGTCTCTAGGACCATCATGTCCTATGGCTGATTGCTTCCAAATGCCCTTTTTTTGTTTTTGCGTTCTTCTTCACTTCTGACGCTAGGAGACCGTTAGCTGCATCTTAGATGGCCACTTGAAAGCTTTTAAGACCCCAGTCGCTATTCACCAATGTAGGATGTGGAGCAGCGCTTTTATGTATTTTGTTGTGCCAATTGAGGCTGCTGTCCCCCAGTGCTATGGTCCTGAGACGGTAGATCTAATGGATCTCTCTCACATAGTCTCAGTTGTCTGTGAGGTATTACTCTGTGTCTGTCTTCTATTGTTTCTGTAAGGACTGCAGGTATTTTGTATCACTGGGGTCTGTTCAAGATTAGCCTCAGCTGAATCTATCCTTGGTCTACAGTATACTTCTGTTCACTGACCCCATCTGCTCATCTCAGGCGTTTATGTTTTTATCTGTTGTTGTTGTTGTTGTTACGTGCCAACAAGTCGGACCCGACACTCAGCATAATGTCCTCTGAGTTCATCCAAGTTGTGAGATGATTTGTGTATCCCTCATTGTTCTTTAATGTAGCATAGTATTCCATTGTGTGCATATACCATAATTTGGTCGTCCACTCATCGGTTGATGGGCATTTAGGTTGTTTGCATCTCTTTGCTGTAGCGAATTGTGCTGCGATGAACCTAGGTGTACATATGTCTGCTCATGCGCTATCTCTCCCCTCTTTATGATAGATTCCTAGTAATGGAATTGCTGGGTCAAATGGTATTTCTATTTTCAGCTTTTTAAGGAAACACCGTACCACTTGCCACAATGGTTGTACCATTTTACAATCCCACCAGCAGTGCACAAGAGTTCCAATCTCTCCATACCTCCCCAGCACTTGTTATTTTCTTTCTTTCTTTCTTTTTTTTTTTTTTTAAGGCTATAATCTTTTTTTGTATATGTGTGATTTGGGTGAAAATTTACAGAGCAAATTCACTTTCCATACAGCAGTTCACATACACTTTGTCTCATGACACTGACCAAAATTCACCACAATGCAACAGCTCCCCTCCCACATCCTCCTGACAGTCACCTCTTCCCTGTGTCCATCTCTCCATGCACCCTGCCTCCTGAGCTGTCTCCCTGTGCATAAACAGCCCTTTTTTCTCCCATGATTGTTCTCTCCAGGAGTGTTTCTAACAGTGTTAACAACTCCTGTGCCTGTCTTTTGTTTGGCTAAGCCACAAGTGTGGGTTCAATTCCAGACCTGAAGGGCAGTTAGAGGCCATAGTTTTAGTGGTTCCACAAGGCTCTATCAGACCAGCAAACCTGGTCCCCCCTTTTTCTTCCTAAATGATTTTGAGCTTTGTTCCACATTGTTCTTCCTCTCTATCCAGCCATATACCCATGTTTGCCTTCACTGACAACACAGTACTGTATGTGCAGAAGGGTTCATCTTTGTTGTCTGTACCTCTTGTGTACGTCTTCTTCTTCCTCAAAGCCACCATGTTGATCACTCACATTTGGTACATTGCCCTTCTCTTCACCCAAATCAATATTTATCTCCACCTATCTAACAGTGTTCCTTCCCCTCCCGTCCCACCCCTGGTAACCAACAAAGAAAATTTCCTTCCATAGATAAACCTTTCCTTGACTTTTACAATAACAGACTAAAGTGATATTTGTCCTTCTGTGATT